TTATTCTTTCAGCACTTTTTAGACTTCTTTTTTCTGTCTCGTTCTTTTACGTCATATATACCGCAATGTTTGCACACGCATATCTTGTGCTAGAAGAGATATCTCCAATTTTGCTAGATGCCTAATATTCGTAATACTATACGTGTTATCTTCGATGAAAGATCACTTTTTGACTACTAATAGTATTTTGTATGGTTCTTCATCCTTATTTTGAATAGACCTGTTGCAAGATGAAGGAGAAGGAGAAAGAGAAAGAGAAGAAGATTCAAGCTTGTAACATATCATTCGGTTATATTTAACGTATCTTCCCCGGGAAGATAGAGAAAACAACATTTTCCTGTTCCTCGTATATATATGTCACTGACCACGTTATAACCGAATGATACGTTACAAGCTTGAATATTCTTTCTCCTTCTTCATCTTGCAACAGGTCTATTATCATAATTTTATAGTACCCAACTTTTAGATTTGTAAAACATATGTATCGTGCGACATTGGTTCTAAGGCTAGGTCCAAAAGTCCTAGCAGAAATCCTACCTCTATCCTGTAGGAAAAGAATTCCGTCGTACGATCAAATAGAATCCTATCATAGGTAACGCAATAATATTCTCACCCAACGACCGTCTGACATTTCCTGTAAGAAATCACACACTAAAATCCCATCAGTTGCATACGACTGAAAATTATGATATCGTACAGTAGAAAATGATAGGATTTTAATTCTGGGAATCTTATCATTGTCATTTGCATGTCCTATTCAGCGTTTTGTTTTTCAATAACAACTCCATAAAGAACACGTATTACTCTGAGGATTTTTTCTCGGTGTTCTCGACAATTGTGTCAAAGAGTAAAGTTCGGCTACTGTTATGGAAGTATGTATCTATCAGAATGGCTAGAGAATCACGACCAGTTCTAATGGGAGACAACGAGATTTAATGAATATCAAGAATATGAGATGAAGGACAAGAATGACTAATGGAAGAGTCATATGATGTGGTCCTATAGAATTTCAGTAAATTTTTACCATATCCTACGTAGAGTCCTAAACAATCAATCTTACCTCCGATACTATTACGACCCTGCCAGACTCCTACTAGGCTCCTATAGAAATCCTGCTGTAAGAAATGATAGGTAATTTTCCATGGATCGAACATCTATCACTATCCTATAGAAATTCTACAAAAAGTCTACGGGATCTTACAGAATTCTTGTGAAATTCCTACATGAATTCTATAGAATCCTATCATAAGATTCTTCGACCTGAGAAACAATTTCTAATCATAGGCTTCCGTATGACGTACTGGCAAAGTTAAGAGATAATCATCGCATATATGAAGTAGTAAAAGAAATAGAATGTCCGCGTATGGACCATTATTTTTCTTAAAATCAAAACGAAATATAATCCTTCAAATGGACATCAACTTGACTATCACACGTTGGCTTACAGACTTACGTAAGAATGTAAAATAAATGATTTGTTTTTACTAAAATAACTGATACTGGTGTTTTTTCAATATTTTTTTGTAGATCCCTAGAATTACAAACAAGATTAGTTAATATTAAGAGATTCTAATGAAATATTTCAACGGAAAAATAATATGAAATATTTCTAAAATAGTATTAGACAAACGAAAGAATATATCACTCTATAATTAATTATTAACTTTTACATGACAAAATAAAAATATCATTTATTTTTAATTATTAGCCGAGATAACAAAATGTGTATGAATGAACTATCTCTTTTAACTAACTCTCTTTAATTGTGCATAATATCTTCGATTGTATATACACCATTCACATATATTTTAAGTTCAATTTGATGGTATTTTTTAAGACTTTGTCTATGTCCAATACTAATTATTGTTAGCCGTTTTTCCATTAGATAATTATAAATTTTCATTTCCGTATTTAAATCCACACTCGATGTTATTTCATCAAGAAATAATAATTTAATTGATTGTATTTGAAATTTTTCTTGAAGAAGAAAACGTATAAATGATAGACGCTGTAATTCACCAGGTGATAACAAATCATTCCACGAATATCTGGGACATAAAAACAAATTAGAATTAACATGTTGTAAAATATGTGCAAGATTCCATTCAGTTAATAAACGTTTAATTTCTGTTTGTTGATCAATTGTTGGTAAATGTGTTGCGTAATTCGGATAAAATAATTCATCGTATAATGATTGATTTGTGAAATAAGGACGTTGTGGTAATAAAAATGATTGTGTTCGATCGAAATAAAATTTTCCATTTAATGTTGTAACTGGCCATAGTGAATACAATACGCGAAATAAAGATGTTTTTCCACTCCCACTATCACCTAGAATAGAGGAAAGAGTATTAAAGTATTTAACCGTCTTTTGCAAAAAAAATTGTCGACTATACCGGTTATTAGTAATCGTTGATAATCGTTTAAAGTCAAATTTAAATTTTTCATCAAAACATGTTCTATGTTGGTAGGTGATGAATAGGATAAATCTTTTATTTGTAAAGCAATATTTGGAGAACCCACTACTCCAAAAACACAAAGAAGACAACATAAATAATGAGTTGAGAATAGCAGAGATTATGAGAATATTTATTGGACATGAGCTAAAATACATCCGATGCATTTTAAAGACTAGTGTGAAATAACATGGGGTTAGCATGTGGAAAAATTCAACTGAACATACCAATTGTTGATGCGGCTGATTGACTATTACTATCATTCCACTTTAGGTCTACTTTAGACATCCACTCAACAAATATTTGTACACGATGAGTATTTGCTGCTATTATTGTCATTTTATCTGTTAAATCATTTAACATACTAAAACGAAATATCAAATACATTGTTATAAATGATGTTTCACTTATTGTTTTGGTTATATCAGATGGTGGTAAATGATCGTATAGATGAAATATGAACATAGTTATTGATATCAATAGATAACTTAAAATACTACCAATATAATCATATAAATTTGTTGTTAAGGATAGAAAAAATTCTTGAATTATCCGACGATATAATATTGCACGTATTTTTGACTTAAAATATAAATTAAAACGTTTTAATTCAAATAAACCACCATCGTAAAATGCAATTGGTTCATTATAGTTACGAATTTGTGCATGTAAATAACGATAACCACCTTCATAACTGTTTTGTTTATAAATTGTACGTGATACAAATGAAATAAAATATTTATTAATTATTGTTGATGGAATAAAGTAGAGAAAAATAGATAATGGTCCCCAATATCCTCGAAAAAAAAAGAATAAATTCATTCATAATTAAATTGTAAGAAAAATGTGCTAACCTGTTATTTGCCATGTCCGATAGACATAAAAAGCAATAGTAAACGGTGAAACAAGCAATAATGGAATAATATCCGCTAATGTTCTACATAACTGATCTGTATCCTGTGTAATACGTTGATCAGGATTATCAACATCAATGAAGGAGTCATTAGAGACTTGTGATGATGATGATGGTGATGAAGCAGAAGAATTCAGCGAGACTAAGATGGATGAATTTGAATGTGAAACATTATCGCCCTCGTTCGCTCTAAAAGAGAAGCAAATATTCAGATAAAATTTAGCTTTGTGTTTGTGTTGAAGTTAAACTTTTAGTCTGGAATTTTTCCTTATTTGTTACAGTAACTGAGAACTAAACTTGTAGTAGAATATTCTGGAGCTACATCTTCTAAGAAAATAAGAAAAACTTCTTCAGCTAAAAGAAACATGTGATTTTCTTATCGAAGAAGGACTAAAGATATGAACGGTTACTTTATTGCACAATTGTATCTGATGGGGTCCCTGAATTGGGTCCTGTCATTATAATGTATCATTACTATACCGTTTGTTCACTCACATTTTAGCAGAAACTGACTCATTTTAAAATCACAGAATATATGGATAGTTTAAGCTATTACGATCGCTAAGATATTTTCAGTGAAACAAGTATTGTTATACTCAACTAACTTATATGACAATTTAAAGTTATTATTTACGCTTGTAATGTATAATTTTTGTACGTTTGTCTGCTTTCTTCCTCTTGCTTTTGTTTATATTTTTGTTCATAGGTTGTATTCGACAGATGAAAATAACGTTGTTTTGTAAAATAAAATGTTTGCAAATAACAAACAAGACTTGTTCGCCATTTTACGTATAGAATAGATGCTAAAAAGTGTGATGAGGATTTTAGAAAAGCATTGAAACAAACATAAACAAATGATTGAATGACAAGCCACTTAAATGCTGGTATATCACGATTGTTTGGTGATGCTCCTAATTGTACATAAAATTTCGCCGGTAATAAACCAACGAGATAAATAACATATTCTAACAAGCCTTCATTCCCTAGTATAACTAATATAAGCAGTAATGGATGTAGATATGGGCATGAGTACTTTGGTGTGGAAGAGTTTTTATCAATATTTGTCAATGATAGACGTGATATCGGTATAAATACATGAAAAAGTTTATAAAAACGTTTTAAAAATAAAAGATTTAATCCGTGAGACATAATATCTATGAAAAAAATAGAAAAAATGAAATAATATCAGAACAATGTTTTCTCACTATATGGTATGAGTTGAAAAAACACAAAATAATCATAGTTTATGAAAAGAAAAATAGTCAGCAGTATTTTACCAAGTAACAGTTTTTATTGAATATGCTGTACATTCTCTTCTCTACTAAAAAAATAACGGAAGATCTACGATTAGAGTCTTGCTGTTAAATGCTCCATCTTACAATTCAAACACTAATCTTTCTAATCTATATTTTCAAAAGATTTTCAAAAACATGAAAGTAGGAGAAAATCGAATTTCTAGCTAGACTGACTCTATGCAGTTCTTTAGATCCTAGTATACTGAGGCGTTCGAGTGATGTATCTCTATTAATACGCGAGCCGATAATCAGTACAAGAGTCCAATTAAAGATTTGTGTCTATGTAAAATTATAATTTGAAAATTTACCAATTTTATATTAAAATAAGGTTCAAATCGAATAGCCTGAATAACAATGACTCATGCTGTTAAAAATCTTTGTCTTTCAAGCATCGTCTAAGCAATTAATTAATATTAAACTAGGTCTTATCAAAACAGAAAACATACTGTAGTACAAAGAACTATAAAATCGTTCTACTCCCAGTTTGTTTCCAAGAAAAATGTAGAGAAATAGCTAGAGATTTTACTGAATGCATTCAGTCTCAAAAGTCTACTTTTCGACAAATGAAAACTAGTGTACTATAGTGTGTGATGGACTGACCGTTTGTATAAAAGTTGAAAAATGTATTAAAAGAATTTTCTAAAAATTCTAGCAAAGTTCAATGGCAAGATAGACTTTATAAACGAACTGATTGTAATCTCTTATTAAATATCAAAGTAATTAAAAAAAAGGCCAAACCTTTAATCTCTTGAAAAGTTGGACAAAGATAAATAAAAAACTGAAAGTAATTGATGATGTAAAAAAATGTAGAGTACAAGTTCTCCAGGCATTAATATGCAATATGCCAACATGAAATGATGACAAGTTATGGCGTATAATAGATATAAGTAGATTTAGATGCTAGATGCTTTCGTGCTAGATTTTCGTGCTAAATGCTTTCTTTCTTTTTTTTAAACTTTAGACTCATGAGCAGTAGAACAGCGAGGCAAGTCCAACTACGTTCTCCTATAGTCACGGATTATGGCAACGAACATCACTAGCTTACCGAAGCTATTAGATGACTGACGTTGCTAGAGTTGTAACATCATACCTTTGAAATAGAATGTAGGGACATTTACTAGTTCAATCACACCGTTAATTGAACAGTGTAATTCTAACACTTTTAAAAATCATCTATTTTATTCTTTAATGTACTTTACGTTGTTGTTGTTGTTTTGAAAATCGAGAACGTTTGAAATTTTGATTTAGCAGCGCTATTCAGCCATATCTTTATTCTAAAGATTCTAAACATAATGAGATGATTTTTACAAAAACAGACTCACTCATTATGTTTTAGATTTATGAATCACTAAAATCAAAAAAATGTATATACAGGTTTGAGCGTATGAAAGACGAACGGTAACAAAGCAAAATAAAAACTAATAAAAATATAATAAACACAAACCAGTACAAAATAAAATGGAAATGACATTAAAATATCATTATTTATACTCAAATGATAATACTGTTTCTAATGCTACTAGATTGAATTTCGTTAAATACTTTCAACAACGGACGGTTAGATAACATCTTTATTTAAGATTATAAATAACTAATAAAGAAGGAAAGGAAAACAGAAACGATTAACTGATTGTTCATTCATTTTCTCTTATGTTAGTTCAATTAAAAGTTTTGATTTTTCACTTTGTCTTTATTTTGACTAAAATTATTTGACTTGAATTATTCAAAGAGTAAAAATGTAAGAAAATGCTCTAGAATCATAAAACTCATTTTGATCATTCCCTTCTCGATTGATACAAACAATATGGTTATTATTACAAAGCTGTTGACAATATAATAGACCTGACTGACGATTGTTGAATGATTTACTTTTCAATAACCAATCAATAAATACAGTTCCATTAAATACTAAATTTTGTTTATCAGCATCAATGGATATTAAGCTAAATAGAGAAAAAAAATTAGACATGACATAAATCAGGACTAGAAAAGTACAAGTAAGTTAGTAAAAGTTTTAGATTATTAATATGAAGCACTGTGTTAAGAAAAAAACATGTAAGATTTCTGTTCTACTTTATTTAAGAGTCTTTAACGTCTATGTCCAGTTCAACTTAAATTCGGCATTTTTTGCAGAAACATGCACATAAATTATAAGGAATGTAATGCAACAAGAAGGTTAAGTTTAACAAAAGCTTTTGCTTTAAATAAAAGTATAATGCGGAAAGCTGAACTATAAATGACAATGAATACACAAAACAGAATCAACTTACAAGGTTGTATTCGAAACTAAATGTTAGAACAAAGTCATACATGTACATTAAATTCAAGAAGCAAAGAGTATAAATGCGTATCCCGTTCGGAATATATCATTTCAGAATGCCATATTTTTATATCAGAATATAAATTTTGTAACTATTGTTACTTCAAGTTAATAAAACGCTTCGAAATCGTGTAAAAACTTATACCACTATACACGTATAATTGAACAAAATAGTTAAACATTATATTTTTCTGTTAACATTATTTCTGGCAGGGTAGCATCTATTTTTCTCTAACTTCCAAGAAGAGATAAAGTTTCTCTTTCAAAATAAAAGGTTTTTTTTTGTTTAACTCAAATTCAGAAGACAATAGTACGGTAATTTGAATCGAAGAAAAGAACAATTGTTCACTTTCTCTCGCAAATATTAAATGTCATTCTAGAAAATGTCGTATCCATTGCAGACTACGCTTTTTACTTCTTGATTACACTCCTAATGTTATATTTACCTGTTTAGTTCTGTGATATGATTAAGAAAATTTGGTTTGACATTTTGTTCAAAATTGATCAAAGTGTCATCATCCATTAACCGAGGTTTTTTCTCCATGTTTTTTGTTTGCGTATTAGCATTCAAAAATTCTTGTAATCCTCCGTATCCAACATACTTTAATCCAGCGGCAAGACTAAAAAAAGCTTCGACAGATGTTGAAAAAGTAGAAATTTCAATGCATCACACAGCGATCAAACAAAAGAATATAATTGAATAATATATAGAAGATTTATTTAAAGGCATCCGCATACCTTCTCGCTATAGGTAACAAGACATCTACATCAAGTGCAAAGACAAGAAATGTGATAAATCCCTAAAAGAGAAAAAGGAGAAAATAGGAGGAAAAACTAATTTAACTTATATTAAACATACTTGACCGTAGAGTAATACTGAATCAAGAAACTGCAATTCGTAATAAATTCCAGTATTACGACTAGGGTCAACGAATGACCATGCCAGTATTGAGAAACACTTAATAGAAACGGTAAATGATGCATATTGTTAATCTCTGACAAATTTCATATGTTAAGAAACTAGAACGTCTTGTGAAAGGGATGATTAATTAACCATTAGCAGAACTAGCGTCAGATGCCTCCCTTTAAAAGAAACCTAAGTGTACATAGATGATCACAGGATACTTACTAGGACTCCATTGAGCGTCAGTAAAGATAACAATATACCATGTCTAAATAAAAGAAGTGAATATAAAAGTCATATTCCTACTTCACTAGGATAATCGTACCGTAGAATCTGCGGATTGGCTTCAATCAGCCCGTCTAAAAAGAAAGAAATAAACAAATTTTCAAATATATCTGAACAAAACGAAGAATAAATATAGCTATCTAATTCAAATATTTTTCTTTGATTATACCACGCAAAATACTGTCATAATAACTTCTTACTCGCTGAATAACTATCGAATGTTATTGACGCAGAAGTCGTTGTTGTTTCGTTTAATTCATCACTTTGTCTTGATGAGTTATCATCGGTATTAATCAATGGTTTTGATTCATTGATTGTTACTGACAAGTCATTATGACTTAGCCTTCGTTGATTTTCATCATGTTTTAAACGATATGTTCGTCTAGCCACACGAATAAGACAGCATGTACCCAATAATACTGATATGAAAAGAATAATCATCGATGATATTATGTGAATAACACCAAATTTTTCAAGTGCCAGTGGTGATTGTTTCTTTGATGATTGCACACAAACAATAATTGTTGACATAATCGGAAAACTCCACCCGAATAAATGATAAAACCAACAGAACTGTCTTGTTTTTTGAACACCATAACATACTCTGACCATAAGAGCAAGTGCAATGGATGCTGACCATGTTCTTGTTGATAATGCAAAAAAGACTCCTCCAATTCCTTGTACGATATTTTGCAAGGTACTCGTACTTGTGTTCATGTAATAAGATGGTATATTCCATAAAGCTAACATCAGTTGTAATATTAAAAGAATAAGTGTATAACGATGAATTAAAGCGGTTTTTTTCCAACGTCTTTTCAACATAAATCCGATAAAAACAATAATTGTACAAAATAGACTAATGAGTGAAACGTCAAATCCAGCTTGACTCAATGCGTTTTCATAGGATGTTGATGTTTTAATATCGATTGTTGATAATGCGATCATTTTCGCTGATATTAACTGAATAATAACAAAAAAAAAGAAACTTAAATAAGAAAGTGGACGATGAAGAGTATACATACCATAATAGGAGCAGCTAATAGAGTTGAAACAACTAAACATGTTGATGCAATCGATTGAAGAAACATGTTTCCTTCAGGAACAAAAAAGACTACTGTAGGGGCAACGGGGAACGTTCCATATAAAAACCCATAATTCGAATATTCTAAAGTTAGATTTTTAGAATCATTTGGTTTTAACATTAAAACAATTTGACGAATTAATAATGGTAAAAAGACGGATTTAATCATGCTTAATATAATAACAGTGATAATAACATATGAATGAAGTTTCCGAATTTTCCCAACTAATTGTAAGCCAAGATAAAACAGAGCAGTGGCGCTAAATGAGTCGGCTAAAGGTGTTACAATACGTAAAAGCATGTATGGTAGTGTCTGTTTGAATATTCGATTAAATATACAACCCAAAACTGTTGCGATTATAATTGGGTTCTTACAAAGATTAGGAATTATTTTTGATATTAATCGAAGACAAGTAGATGAATCTAAATAAAATATATCTTTTAAAATTAGCATTTTCAGAAAATCTTCAACTATGTTACGTATACAAACCTGAACGTTTAGCGCCAAGTCTAGGTTGAATTTCTATAAGTAAAAATCCTAGAGGATTTAATATAACTAATGAAATAGGTGCTATTAAATAAATATAACGTAAAAAATCTGGATGTGAGTGTTGATAAAGTGCTTCAACAATTGGATATCCCAACGCAAAATCATTTGATTGTGATGTGATTATTGAATATAAACCAACATTAGCATAATTCATTGGACGTTGAATAAATGATGTTGTTAGAGCTAGAAATTAGAAAAAAATAAGCTGTTATTGATACTTTCTTTAATGGTGAACGACAATAAAGGGTGAGCCAGAATTACTGAACGATTTATATATAAACGGTTTATTAATTCGTTTCAGTAATTCTGAATCACCCTTTATATTACCTGTTAAAAAAAATATGACAGATTTTCCGATGAATATAGACGCTAAAAATGGCCATGAAACCATACCAAAATGAATCACTACTAAATTTTTAAATATTAAAGCTGGTAAAGCAAAATGACTAATATAACGTGATAAACCAATTGAATGTGATTGTGTTAATATACTCAATTGACCAGCAATATAACCAAAACCGATAATAATAAAACATTGAATTAAAGCTGGATATAATTCTTTGTCAATCGCTCGAATACTATCAACTGTAGTGTTATTCATGGCGATGAAAAATGGAGACAGCTATAATAAAATAAAAAAGTCATTCTAGTTGTTAAAAATGAATAATTTCTATTATTTTTTATTTTATTAAGAGATGGTAGAAGTCAAGTTCTTTGCGTATGATAATAATTACTATCTCAATAGTATGGAGACTATACAGGTGCTCCTTAACAACGCTGGATGGTAGATCCTGTTCAGAGAATTTTTTCTGTTAAAATCAGTTAATTGTTTCTAATTTTACGTAATACTACCGAATCCTCTTCTTTTTGAAAAAGGAAAAATTGTATTTATATCGCTTTAACTCTTCAAAATTTTAATAAAGTATTGATTGACATCGACGAAAAAGACATCGTTTATCTAGAAGACATTCGCATCAGATGAGATGGTACATGATTGTTCTCCTAATACAATTTGTAAAAACTATACCTTTAAGTGGTGCGCGCCACTTGAATACTTCTCACTTAGAAAGTACTGTCTCTTTCTATACAATAGTTGGCTAATTTACTGTACTCGACTAGAATTCAGGATCCCTATTATTATATAGTGAACTATCAGGCAGATTCAAAGTCTCACCTGAGATAGAGGAACAAGAATTGTGAAAAATAAATAGAAAAAAGAGAGAACAACTATACTGGGTTATGATGCAATCATTTATTTCACGTGTTACAGGTTAACAATCACATGGAAGGTAAGAATTTTTTAATATATTTTTTTATAGTTAGCCATTCGGTGACTTTTCATACGTTATAACGCTTTCATTTTCTTCTAAATAATTTATTAAAACCAAAACACGGGAAATGACGCTATTAATTGTCAAAAAACAGTTTTCACGGCGGTACAAAAATACGTCCAAGCTTCAGATTCTTAGGTTGGGGGTTGATACTTTCAAAGAAACGAATATCAGACAATATGAAGTATTAGTTAAACTGGGCGAGTGTCGATCGTCGAATTAGTGAAATGTTTGGTATACCTTCATTCTGGTTATTAAGTGGATAATCATAGCTCACACTGGACGATGAATGAGTGTCACAATTCTTTAATATGAGTATATAAGAACAATAACGTGTGCAGTTCGAAACTAATTTTAGTCTTTCAATAGAATTTGTTTTTTACCATGACAAAAGCAAATGACTTATTGTCAGTATGGAGTGCTATTTTTATAGAAACATCAGATGACTGAAAGATTTACCCAGCGCGTGTAATTCTCTGCATTTATGCGCAAAGCTGACAGCTAATTCTATACAGCCTTATATTTGAATATCGTGATATACAGGCAGTAACAAAAAAATAAAAAAACTATTCACATCTGTATCAAAAATGCTATGGTAGAAACATTTAGAAAAATTCATTTACAAAATTAGAGAAAAAAAACATTCTCATATACAAAAAAAAGGCATCAAAATTTAAACAGTGAAATGAACAAAACAAAGTGGAACAAATAGATGAGATTCATATTCAGATTAAATAGATTTATTGCACACATAAGAAAACAAGATAACAGAACACAATTCATTCAAGAGCAGTTTTACTAATAACATGATAAAAAGATGGATTAGCTGTGTCACATAATTCAACGATACTTCCAGCCGGATCTAAATACAAAATAAACAGAGGCATAGAACATCTTTTTTACAAACGATTATTCTACAGCCTTTTCGAATCGACTCACTCTTCTCTTCAATATCAGATAAATTTAATGTCATAAAAAGTATATTTTGAGAGAAAGAAATTACACATCACTTACTCAGTTCGACTAAATCTTCTACAATATTGGACGCCGATGGAGAGAATAAGAGAAGGATGGCAAACACATACAAGTTCCACATTCCATAAACTCCTATAAATCAATAAAAAAGTATGTACTATCTGATTAAGCAATGTATAAAACGTACCTGTAATGAATGCGCCAGAATAATGAATTTTTGGTGGTGTATTCTCGTGTTCCCATATCCAATGAGTTTCATAAAATTGACTTAGACAAAACCAAATGACTGTCAAAATAGCACAAATAATTGTGGCAATTAATAATGAACCAAAACGAAATGAAGCTCCCTAAACGCAAAAATTCAACGTATTTAGTATTAAACAACAAATATTCGTAAAAATATAGCTACTTGATAAAGAAGTCGTCTGACTCTACTCATGGCATGTATTTCTCGATGCTTTGAACGTATATTCCAGAAAACACGAATAACCAATATCGTTAAACATACTATGTAAATAATACCAGATAAACCGGCCAATATTAAAAATGTCCTCTGCAATAGAAAAAGAAGGCATCAGAACAAATTAGTCACAAAAATGTGTACATACCGCAACATTTTTTCCGGCTTTACTTGACCATATTGAATAAAATGGATTCGAAAACTGGAAGCCTCTAGAAAGAAAGGTACTTAAAGAAAGAATTCACACTAGTGGATTAGAAGATGGATATTATACCGTTGAAATAATTCAAAAAGTAGCAAGACAAATGATGAAAACCAAATTAAGCCAACATATTTTATGTAAGATGCAAGACTACTGCAGCCACTTTTATCCTAAACACAAATGTAAACTTTTCTAGTGCAAGAGTGACATGAGTATCATCAAAATATCTTCTATCTCCAGTTTTGTATTTAATTGAGGTACGACGAATTTTTTCTTAACAAAAACTCTTTGTTTACTCACAATAACATGTTCACCGGCAAAAACCAACCAAAAGGTTAATAGAACACAGAAGAACAGGCCTTGTCGAATCTCAGTAAATATTTGAAACCAATTCGATGGAAATAAAAGAGTAAACCACTCCAATGGAGCTAAAATTTTTAAACAAAAAAACACTCTAAAAATGTTCATAAAAGTACAGATTTTAATAAGCTTACCATTTAAGAGACAGGTAGATAAACCCAACAGGAACAGAAATCTAAAAAGATATATAATGGCGCGATGTTAGCTTTTTACAATACAGTAAAAACCATAAATATTTTCTTTAAATCTTTTTAAGATACTCGATGCGTTTAGAGCAAACATCTTATTACAAATTTTGTTACACATACGCCGATCATCAATATGCATTAAACTTGCCATCAGGTATAATTGATGAACTAGTACATTTTTTTATATTATACATCGGTTTCGGCACCAAACTGTGTGAGTTTTGTATTCACGTAAAATTCTGATAAAATATTAAATCTGATCAATGATTTATACATCATTTTGTAACTCTAAAAAGGGTCTATCTTCAACATATCTTTCCTTGACGTTAAAGTTTAATGAAGCGGTAAAAATACCAAACTGAAGTTAAATACTATTTTTGAATACCTCAAAATAATGTTGATATGTAAAAAATTGTACTTAATTGAAAAGTTCTCTGGAAGGTTTGTGTTATATCTTACAATGTAGATTTTGATCAATATCATCTGAAGACTTTATCTCAGATTATAAGCTTATTTTTATCGAGTTAGGGATTATTTTCTAGTACAATTAGTAACCGTGGACAGTAATATTTTGAGATACGACAATTTTCAATGTCTGCTACTTAAAAAAGAAACACCGTTTATTAATGCTATTGTTATCAGGCATAGAATACCACAGTCAAAACCTAATAGTACAATTGTATGTCGGAAGCATGCTATGAGTTCATGTTTTAGAAAAAAATACCCATCATTTCATCATAAACAGGAAGAAATTTTGTTTCATATCAAAACATTCAAATATTCTGAATACATTTTAGATGATTAACAGCCGACTGACTCTGCATCTACTATAACAGATAGGCTTTGATTCGTTATCATTCTTAAAATTCAAGGAGATTCTTACTCATTTGACTGTAGAAGTAACTTAACACTTTTTTTCTTGCTTTAACTTAAATTAGGTAAGCGTTCGTGAAGTTCAACAATTATGTTCGCAATTTTCTAGTAGTTGATGAGGAAAAGCATACATTACCTGTCCAAATTTGTGTACGACTTCTTTAAACGCTTCATTTGATAATTATGCCAAATGACGGCTGCCAGCACTATTGGAAATGTACAGGTTTTAAGTGAAAACCAAACTTTGGTAAAGCCGATTGTCTGATAAATTGCCTAAAAATTGACAGATAAGCTATTGTTTTATAATTCATTAACACTGACTCACAACAAAATCCAATGACATCAATTTTCCGATATTTTGCGAATAATCTTTGTCGCCAACAATTTGTAAATTTATCAAATAATATGGATACTTTAGAGCCGCAAGTTCAAGAAATGCTAACTGTTCACAAATGTATACCGGATCAGTCTGCAGAAGAAGAAAATATATTACATAGCCTTTATTCTATCTGTTCACCTTACTTTAAGTCCATGATTAATCGGTTTGCAATCCAAACGACGAGTTTCTCTGGACTTTGCATAAAGCTTCCATTGTGATGTTTTATCATTGAAATCGTTTTCATCAGTTTTGTATCCTAAACGTACGTCGTATGTTAATAAAGCATTTGAACCTAAAAAGAATTCAAATAGTAATTTATTATTGTTGACCACAAAACTACGAAAATAAAAGAGATGACTATGATCGGGTATGATACAAAAAGAATACGAATTAAAGGATCTTCTCTGTACTAAATTAAAGTCAAGAAAAAAATTGTTTTGAAACGAGTTAACCACAAGTTGTGCTCTATCTTCGTCTAAAACTTCTCGCGAAATAGACACTTACTAAAATTAATACGTGAATCAAAGTGAATAGTGGGCACTATAATCGAATTCAAAGCTTGAAGCCAACGTGACACACGTGGAAGTTGCATGACAAACACAAAATCCTTCCATGTCCTTGATTGCTGAAAGAAAAAACATGCAAAAGTGGTGTTCTATATATTTTCGTTCGTCGGTTATTATAACTTTTCATTTACATTTCCAAATTGCAACTCCGTATGCTCACAATTTTCTTGCGCTTCCGGAAAGCTGTAAATCCACTCGTGCTCTTTGTTTTTCAATGAACGACAAATGGAAAACTCATGAGAATCAGCATGACTTGGTTTTGACGCTAAAGAGTCAACATTGTAATCATTCATCGATACACATTGAAAAAGCTTTACAAACCTATCAAACCTCCGAGCAGAAAATACACAACTTGAACGGCGATCAAGGCAGAAACAAATAAAATGAGTTTTTTTCGACTCAATTGTTCAAGCACTACGATCTGAATCATGGCACAGCCTCTCTTAGAGTTATCTGCAAATAAGAAACCATAGTATTATTCATCCATATTGGTTCATATAACTGATTAGTGATTTTCTGTAAAACGAAGAATCACCACTCAAACAAATGGAGTCCCACTCCGTCTCGAAAAAGTTTCTCTGGTGATATAGTGACTAAAAGACATTCAGAATGCAGATCTCAACGCAGAAGCTGTCAGTCACCTCCGTGAAATTATACAGTAAAGTGTGTGAGAAATCCGGATGATTTCCTTGACTTTACTCTTAGTAGCGTTATATTTTCGTTTAAAACTTGGCGTCACATGTTTTATTTTCTATCTTCTACACGAAAAGGGTCGGAACTCAAGAAAAAAAAACTGATAAAAAAACTACGTCAAGTAACATAGACGTACACACACACAAACATAACGTATGGAAAATCATTTTTGTGTTAATTCCAGAAGAATGTCTTTTTCCCACACACATTTCAGTTGATTTTTATCTTCTGTTCTTCATTGAAAGCATTATCAGCATTCATAAATGCAATAAAATCTTTTAATTCTAAACCAAAACCAGCGTTTTTGAATTTTTCAATAGAATCATGGTGAGATAGATTACGCTCATTCGCAATAACAAGAAATTTTGGTAATGCTTTGATGTGCCTTCATAAACTGTAAGAAGATTTTGAATTTCATCATATCGATATTGAGCGATAGCCGATGGCGTTTTAAGATCTCTAACTGCTGTTGCAAGTTCAATATCAAACTATAAACGCGATGAAACGTTTAACGACACGCATTTTTTTATCATCAATGACTTCGCAGCTCCATGATTACGACTGTCGTAAACGACTAGAACGACGACGGAATACAACGAAACCGGTCGATTCCGGCGGCCGGAACGATCGACCTGGGTAAATCCGGCCAACGTATTACGTCAGCCGTTACGACTGTCATATTTCAACGTAAACGACGTCGTTTACGATGGATGTAATACGTTGGCCGCGTTTACGTAAAATACAACAAAAGACTATAGTATACGGTCGTGAATCTTTGATCTGGGCTTAGTTGACTAAATAATATTGATAAGATTATCCTATAAAAAAGTATTTTATCGGCACTGGTTGTGCACGGATGCGCACCAGTGCCAAAAAGAATGTAAAAATCTCGCACCGGTGCGCACCAGTGCCGAAGTTTTGTTTTCAATCACCATTTTATTTTGTCAATTTCTGTCTATATTAACGCTACAGTCTACTTCTAATATTTCGAATGTCTTTCTGACTTCATCTTGTTCTTCTCATAAGAGAAGTACCGGGACAATGTCGCATAGTTTTGGCATATCGATGTGGTACTGACCAGTGCCGCACTCTAATACAAAATTCAGCATAAACAACCATAATAAAGAACTAATTAAATTGATTAAATAAATTATCAGTGCGGCACCGATTTTTGCCAGTGCAGCACCCATACGGCACTGATTTTTGCCAGTGCGGCTTCCGTGCGGCAGAAATATATCGGCACGGGTGCCAGTCGGCACTTGCTAGGCACGGGTGCACACCAGTGCCCGTCAGTGCCAGTGACCGATGGCATGCCATGCGCACCGGTGCGTACTGGAATTTTTTTTATAGGGTAACTCTTGTTTAGATTTTATTTTCTCACTGTCTAATACACTAAATTTAGTTCCTAATGATTGAATTTTTGTTTTTAATAATTGATGATCCGCTTTGAATAACTGATGATCTTCTTCTAGATTCTTTAAACGTAACAAAATACTTCAAATAATTGTAGGATTGTTTGATTCTCGTTGATTGCGTTGATTCTTATCTTTGATACGAAACAGGTCTTTTAATGTTTCGTTGTCATTGTTTATTTTCATACCGAAACATTTTTTTTTGTTAATTCTTCCACTTTCCAGGTCGATTGTTCCGGCTGCCCGAACCGACCGGTTCCGTTGTATTCCGTCGTCGTTCCGGTCGTTTCCTGTATGTTCCTACCACTGGGAGTCAGTTTTATAAAAAAATTTAAGTCTGACTTAAGTCAAAAATCGAACTTAAGTCATAAAAGACAAAGAACTTTTTGGACTTAAGTGTTTTTATAAAACTGACTTTGAATTCCGTCGGGTTTCCGGCTCGGAAAATTCCGACGACGTTTTCGACTGGAATCGGTTGCAGTACGTCGGAAACAGAACGAACCTGCGGGAGGAACAGTCAGTCGAAATCCGGTTGCTATGAATACGCTGAAACGTGAAAAACCGGCTGGTTGTGATCGGGCAATAATGACCTGGGTTGTCTATCGGTCCGTGCGCAAAATACGAAAAAATGGCTGTTAGATATTCTATGGATAAGCCAATTACAATCACAAGAGAGAAAAATAAAAAAACTATTTTTTACACGATAGAAAATATTCAAAGAGATGACTGATAATCCTAACTGATGAAGAAAGAAAAAACTAAGCAAACCTTTTCTGTATGTGGCGATAGATGTCGCTGGAAAGCAGTCAGTTTCGATAACATCAAAAAAAACATCAGTCGACAATAAAAGTTACAGAATATAGATAGTTTATCATAGCGCATCCAACAGAAATACTTTCAGCCCCACTTCGGATCTTCAGAAGATGTTCAGAAAAAGTTTTAGCTTTATACTACATTGTGCGGCATATCAACATGTAGGCAGCGGCGTATCCAGGGGGAGGGGCAAATGGGCACTTGCCCATTTCATTTGGAGATTTGCCCATTGTAATTTTACTTGGGAGATATAAGCATGAAGTTTTTTTCGTGTAACGTTTAGTAAGATATATGTAAGAGTCTGGATAGACAGAATTATTTGTTGATTTTTGAATTAGATAGTAAATGTATTTGATTCTTTAACCTCACCTCTCTACGTCCACTTTCGTTAAGTGTTCTGCCACTGAATGGGAATATTCTGGCCTCGGGCTGAACTTTTTCTAAAAAAAGGGGAATAAGGAGGAATCGCAAAATCTTGAAAGGGGGAACGTCACCAAAAAAGGAGGATGTAAAGCCTAAGCTAAAAACACTTAATTAGTAATTTACAAAAACGTGATGTTATTACATCGAATTCAATGATAAAAAGATATAATTTTAATGAGCTACCGAAAAAAGCAATTAATTTATATAAACAAATGATTAAGAATAACATCCAACCAGACTATGTTACTTATACATTAGTTTTTGAAGCATGTGGTGAATGTGTTCGTTTAGGTAGACTTATTGATTAACTAATCAGGATACCAGGGACAGTGTGACTAGAGGGACCCTCCTCCTTCTTTTGGAAATTTTCTCCGATTTTAGCAGTCGCTCAATATCTTGTCTAATTGCATTTCATCGTAAGAACGTATTGTTAGTGTTAATTTAGCATACTGATGAAGGATGGGATACTCTTGTATGAAGAGCGCGTAATTTTGAATTGATGGCAGCATCGCTAAACATTATTCAATACATATTTATTCGCAACTGTGATCAGGTTAAAAGAAAGCTTCGAGTTCAATCGCACGTTTGAATTTTAGGAAGAGGAAAATCAGTTCACATGGATATAATGAAAAATCATAATATTGATAAGAACGATTTGATTATACAGACCACATTAATTGATATATACGGAAAAGTGGCTGATGTGAGAAAGGCGGAAGAAGCGTTCTCGAGAATATCGAAGAAACGTTGCATTGTTTCATTTCTTAAGAAATCGATAAGAGCGAATGAAAAACAAAGCGAATATGGAGAAGAAACTGTTTGCTACACCGTCTGTGGCTTTTGTACAACATGACTGTATTGCACGCCAGTTCTCTTTTTCTTCCCTTCTTTTTTTGTTGGTTCAAAATGTCGATAAATGGATACAGGAAAACAATTGAAAATCAGGAGAAACCAGAAGAAAATCTTAAAAATCAGCTTCTCAAATCAGGAGAATTTTGATCAGGAGAAAAGTCAAAAAATCAGGAATTTCCCGGTCAAATCAGGAGATTTGGGCACTCTGATCAGATTATAAATCACTCAAGAAAAGAAGACCACATAAAAAAACTCCATTACAATGATACACAACCATTTCCTTCTTACAAACATATTGCATAATCTGTTCGCTTTCATTTTCAGTTAGCTTTAAATATAAAGCAATTTCAGGTAAAACCACATTTATGCCAGAAGCGTCTAAGTAGGTGTCAGCCGCACCGCCGCCGCCATAGGCAGAATTTGTTTTTGAAGTTTTTCGCCGGCGATCTGAAACTTTTTCAAAACTTCTTCGAAGAAAATTTATTGAAAATTATAACTTTTTTAAAGTTTTCACGCCGCCGCCGCTAATAAAGTTTTCAGTTTGACACGCCACTGCCGATAAAATAATCGGCTAACACCTCTACGTCCAAGTCCAAGTTTATAAAAGTCTTTTTAGGATTCCGTACTCACTACGAAACAATCAAAAAGGTTTCATAGTAAAAAAGGCACTGATGGGTTTAAAACTATTTTTCAAAAGTTAAAACATAAGAAAATTTCTAAAAAAGTTGATCCGGGTATAACTCGAGTTGGAGGTTATAACTCGAGTTGATAATTATAACTATTTCAACCTCAGTTCAAGGGTAGAATGATATTGTAAGCCACAGCACCGTGTGAACGTTCATGCTTCGGTAAATCATGTGTTGTTTTGATTATATCGTCATACGTCAACATTTTCATACCAGCACGTTTTGATAGATCAAGAGATCATAATGTCCGGGTACGTCTAGTCGAGGATAAAATTGAGCAATAATCGATCTTGTTCTATTAGTTTTCTTCTCTAAACTTGAAGTGAGTTGTCAATATCGTATTCATCTAAATCAGTATTTAATGAAGTAAAAACAAAATTCACCAAATTTATTGTTATAATCTCGTTTTTTTCTTCATTGAACTCAATAAATCTTAAATAAAATCTGCGGCTATTCTTGATCTTCTATCCTAACTAGTAACTCCTCAATTTATACTGATAATGCACTTAGCTCATTTTGAATGACTTCCAGTCGTTGGAGTAGCTAGTTTGTCATACACGATATCGCCAATTTTGTTCGCATTAGGCACTTGATCATTAACCAAAAACCTTGAGAATATCAGCTGGCACCACTTAATAATTTTTCATCATCGATACCAATAAAGTTCTTATTTGGTAAGTGTTAAACTATTAGATGATGAACGAATCAATCTACCTGTTTGTTCTTGAACCATGTTTTATAAACAAATGATTACTTAAGCATTAAGAATTATATACAAATATTAAGCTATACAGCTGCGAGATATATACAGTAGGAGCTTTGCATGCACAGAAGTTCTGGCACTAAAAACAAATTTGCTTCAACAGACAAACAATTTTTTTTTTCTTCCATTTTATATCCCGATTATGTGACGCACAGAAAATAAAAATTTCATAAAATAAGAACGGAAAAAATAAGAAGTACGATCAACTGGAGTTATAACTATCAACTTAGGTTGATAGTTATAACTCCGGTTGATGGTTATAACTCCAGCTGATAGTGTTATAACTATCAACCCAAGTTGATAGTTATACCTATTTGAAATTTTTGACCAAAAATTAAATTAGTTATAACTAGTTCTAACTCCAGCAAGTTATAACTTAGACAGTTTTAAATCCATCAGTGGAAAAAGGTTTAAACATTTGTTACCATCTATATACCTTTGTATTTTTTCCTTTGTGTTATTACCATAGGATAAGCCTCAGTCGCGTTCATCTGTTATGTGCAATAAGTGTTTTTAGCTTAGGATTTACATCCTCCTTTTTTGGTGGCGTCAAGATTTTGCGATCCCTCCTTATTCCCATTTTTAAGAAAAAGACGCCATTTTAATGCTTTTTTTCTTAAAACCATGCTTCTCAGTACCTTACTACTACTAGTAAGGTACTTAGTAAGTACTAAGTTCTACTTTTTTTGTTCTGCATGATGAATTCTGGTACTGAGAAGCACGATTTTAAGAAAAAAAGCATTAAAATGGTGTCTAGATATGCTTCACTCAGAGAGCTGAGAGTTCGACTAAATGACGATTGTTAAAGATGTATGTCGAAATTTGTTATGATTCATAAGTATTTCATTCGATTTTCGATGATAAATCATGCGCTTTTTTTATTTTAGTTTTTTTAGCTGTTTTATTTTGTCTTCAACGATAAACAAAAGTAGTTATGAATTAAAACCCAAATGAAGATGAACTTTATTAATAATCAAAAAAAATCATTACATGAGCATTGTCCATTTTTAAAGTTATGAAAACGATTAGCATCTCGAACAGTTATTTCACGTTGACGAATTCTAGATATAGTTTTGTCGCCTCATGACAATCTGGACATACTCTTAAATTTTTAGTAATAAACAATGGCTCATTTTGTTAAGTTGATATAAGTCCATAAGCTATAGCCAACTTTTCACTATGTCCCATTATAACAGATAATGGTGTTTCACCATGCTCTGTTTTAACACGACGTGTTATTAAATTATAATCAAATTTATGCCCATAATCAATTAATTCTTGTTGTAATTTATATAGTTCATTATAGATTCATTAGATTTTGGATGAGATTTATCATGTGCATAAAATGAATGATTAACACCATTTATTTCTATGCACGTCATGCCTGATATTTTTCTGATATTTTCATCATTCATTTTCTGTCGAATAGACTGAGCTTTATCGAATTCACCTGCTGATGCATATATATTTGCTAATAAAACATTAACAGATGCAAGATCGTCGTTACTTATATTTTTGATTTCATTTATTTTATCATAAATTTCTTTTGCTTTTTTATCCTTTTTATATGTTCGACATGAACCAAGTAATGTATTCCACATAACAATATTACGTTCATTCGTTTTTTCATAATTTTCTATAATTGACTGTGCTTCATCGCACTGTTGTGAACGGGCTAAGGCATCAACCTTAATAAAAAAAAGAAAAAAGTCTTACAGAATGTAAACGAGTAGAATAGAGAAATTAATATTGGCAACTAACATCGCCGTCGTATTCAGCATGGTCGAAAAGCTATTTGCATGTGTCTTGCATCACTTTTACTATCAACGCCTGGTCGGGAAAGAGAATTCAAGTTTGAGTGGGAAAACTTGAGACTGCTTCGCATGTAAAGTTAATCGAGTTTTTCTGGCCAGGCGTTGATAGTAAAAGTGATGCAAGACACATGCAAATAGCTTTTCGACCATGCTGTACACAATGGCGATATTAGTTGATTGAAAACATCAGAAGATCTTGGAAAGGTTTTCTAGACACCCCGCAGAGATCTATTTCACAACTTTTTTCGGTTCTTTTTTAGAGAACGGAGAAGAATTTTATTTCGGATATCGGAGACAGACGATTCGTGAGGTTGATTTGCATTTCATTTACTTACTTGATATTCCTTTTTTGACCAGCTTCAAATTACAATGAATAAATATGATACACACCTTCACGATTAAAGTTGCCCGTCCGACACTATGTGGAAGTGAGGGGTTGGATTTTGTAGGACAAACTGGCATATTCATTTATTGGATATCGAATGACGTCAGTTAAACCTACAAATGCTAACAGAAGAAAATTATTCTACTAAAAATTAATTTTTTATCAAATAATAATCGATAAACATACCATTTCGAATTTGTACTGTTTTATATTCGCCAATCAATTTTAAATAGTTTGAACAACACCTCGTTCAATTACCATTAAATTTTCATTTGTAGCCAAAACAAATTCAATAAATTCACTGGGATAATGTTGATGATGTTTGTACCCGTAAATACATAACGATTATCATAAACAACAACATCCCGTTCTTCTTAAAATTGAACACCACCAGCTCCTCAAATGGTTAATTCACCAGCACTAATTGGTTAATGTTGTGACAAACTTAAACATTTTTCGTTTCGCCTATAATAAAAACAAAGAAGACAGACAACAATCACAATCTTGTAGTATGAGATCGAGTAGAGAAAAAATAATATGAGTCAAACTCTGAATTCTCCTCAACTAATCTCATTTATACCCTACCCAAACTGATCTACCAAACCACAACGTACATTACATACTACTATTAATATCGGTATCCTACCTGGTTGACATGTAACAAGGGCTTGAACTCGTTGTTCCAATACGACCAAATCAAATGTAACATCAACCGGTTGTTTAACTTGTGTTGTTACTAATACCGACAATTGATTTTCACAATTGACTGTCAACAATTTTAGTAAAATAATAAAACACGAACTAGAAATAAAAACCATCTAATCAGAATATTGCACAGAGGAACCAGAGTATGGACAAGTACAAGTATTTGTACTTGAAAGATATTACTTGTACTTGTATTTTATAGTTTCAGAAAAATACCTGTACTTGTATTTTAGGTACACTTTGAGTACATCGCAAGTACTTTTTGGCTTTTACTTCTCGAACACGTTTCGTACCTTTGCTCTGCTATAATGTGGTGGCCTGAGTTAACAGTAAGTTATAGAGAATTCTGCAGCACTGTTTAGAGGATTTTTTAAGATTTCACTATGATCCTCAACAGTCTATCAGATGAAATCTCACCACTATTTATTTTTGCAACAACCTCGGATGTGTCGTATTCAGTGTGAGTTTGATATTCTCTTTTTTTTATCCCAGTTTTCTATGACTTGAAATTATCAAGATCGACGAGCAGTAAAACGCGCTCGAGGTGTAGAGAAAGAAAGAAAGAAGAACATGCGGACATGCGGATGGAGAATAGCAATAAGCCGACAGTTCACTATGTTCACTCAGTCGGCTTAAAAATTATTTTTTACACGAGAGAGAAAATATTCAAAGAGATGGCTGAAATAATATTCACTGAAATGCCGACCGAAGGGAGGCGTGTGCAGTGTCTTGTATTAGAAGTAGTTTTATTAGAAGCAGTTTTAGTCCTCTGGGAGCCTTTGGCGGGTCTGGAGAAAACATTTTAGATTTATATTAGATTACGAAGCTGTGACTAAGACTAAGACTAAGATTGTTTATTCACGAAAAGTGAGAGTCATCAAAGATCACCGACCTGTAGTAACAATGACTCAAGCCAAACAACACCAAAATAGTAATAAAAGAAATAACAAAATAAAGAAGATAACTAAGATTAGAACCAGAAGTAGTAAAATAAAACAAAAAAAGAACAAGCATAAATGCTTAACTGACAAGCGTTTCACTGAAAGAGATACTGAGATAAGGCTGTTTTGGAAGACATAAAAGAAGAAAGACAAATAACTGACTCTGGAAGATTATTCCAATCAGTAATAGTTGAATAAAAAAATGAGGAATGCATCGTTTGTGGAGAAAAACCATCAACAGAAGGTGGAAGACGAACGTATTTAGAGTGATGAAGACGTAAAGATGAGTAGTGAGGATGATGAATAGTGTAAAAGAGAGAAACAGGACTTAGACGATGATAA